TTGAGAAAACATTCAATGTAAGTAAACAATACATTAATTTGTCAAAATTTCATAGTAATATCAAAATTTACCATTAACCATTCATGGTTATTCAAAATAGGCTAAGAATTTAAAAATATTTTTAAACAATGGCTGTAGAATACTGATAGACTTGTATAATATATATTACTTAATCATTTTTACTTTTATCAACCACATTTGGGATGATGTGTTTTTCTAAGAACCTGAAATGTAGAAGTTTTGCAGTGCATTCAAATCAGGATTCATAGAAATTAAAATGCTTTTATTTGCAAGTATAATTCTGTGGTTTCCATTATATTAAATAAATAATTTAATTTTTAAAAATATAACAAGTTAAAGTAAAACCTGAATTAAATATCGTGAGAAGAAAACAATGACCCTTAGTGAACCAAAAATTGAGCATGGGAAAAGATCTGGTGTGTGGAATAATATATACAAATAGCATTGATCATTCTGTCTTTTATGATCATAAATTAGATTGGTTTAAAGATGTTTTGAACAGAATTAATGCAGCAGTTAGGGAAAGCAGAGGTTAGTAAACAGAGACTTTCCAGTACATTTGAAAATGAATCAAAATATTTCTGGGATAATCCATCAACTGATAACTGTGCTTTTAGTCTCAGTTATAGAGGAAGTGATTCAGAGCAGAAAATAAGCAGTAACATCATACGTTGTATGGTCAGGCCACTCAAGATGGCTATTCTATTGCTCTCTATACATCCCCTGTTCAACAAGTGCCTGCTTCACCTACACTCTACTCACATGACTGACATTCCTACATACTTGCCCCCACCCCAGATAGTTTTTATCAAAGGAGTAGTGAGGGGCATGCCCCTCTGCTACTTTCCCTGGTAACCAGTGAGCCAACCTGATGTGAATTGTCGGTTCCCCAATAACTGGTAATCCCACTCCCCGCCATCTCCAGCGAAGACTGCTGCCATGTCCTGTCCACTGCGTATGGTGGGGAGTAGCTCCAGGACTTTGCTTTGGACATGTAAGATCTCCCTTTCCATTAAACCAGTGATGAATCTGTCACTGACTCCGGGCTCTTTCTTCAGTTTTGAAGCTGGGCAAGTACAAGCCTTGCAGGCCTGAAGGGTGCAGCCCAATGTATGTGTGTGAATTGGATAAAATTTTTCTCAGTAAATTATTCATTTATATAAAATGGAGCAAAACATAGGAAATAGCCAATCCAAAAAATTAGTAGTGATACAAGGATATAGCACAAGAGAATTGTGAAAATTAAAGAAATGGAAATACTTTGTATAAAATTTTTGAAATAAATGTAAGTCATATAAAAGCATGAAACAGACAGCACAGGCTCGGGGCAGGAGAAGTGGCATGAACAAGACACATTTCAACAGTTGTGATCTGGGCCAGCTGGGTGATCTGAAGTAGCTTCCTGGAGGATGAGCAGCTCAAGTTTGGCCTTGAAGAATGTGTGAAAACTCATTTTTGGGTGGCTGGGGAATAGTAGGTGGTAATTTCAGAAAGGTGGTTCAAGGCCATTTTATGAAGGATCTTGGATGCCTGGCTAAAGAATCTGGACAGATTCCACAGGCACTAGAAAACCGTGAATGAATGTTTTTGAGGAGTAAAGCGACTAGACTGATGTTCCTAGAGAGGTGACTCAGGGAGAGGAGGTGGTTCAGAGGATGAATGACGTGAGGAGAGGCCGGAGGGAAGCTTAGCAGTGAGGAGCTGAAGATGTGAACTAAGGCAGCGCAGGAGGATACTCTGAGTGAGCAGGGTTGGTTGGTGCCTTCTACACACACCCAGGAGAAGGAGACCTTCAGAGCCAGGAGCAAGTTTCAGTTGTCCAGCAGGTGGCACATGTGTAAAATGTGCTGAGCCTTAAAAATAGAAATAAACTTGCTTATGATAAAAAGTGCTAAGTATTCAATTGAAATAAAATTATTCTATTATATTCTACATTTGAGCACCTTTTTTGAGCACCTTTTAATATTTGTTTTAAATGAAAGTTTTTTGTTTGTTTAAAATCATTCTCAGAGAAATGCATTTACAATATTTAGTGGGCAGCTTTTGGAAATTATGTTTTTATAAACATCGCTTTTAGAAATTACTGTGACCCATTAGCACCAGCAGAATACTTTGAAATAGTTGAATTCTATTTTCTTGCTTGTCCTCCAACTTTAATAACTCCTTTGCCTTTTATTACCACTAATATTTATTAACATACTTTTCATATGTTGAAGTCCTGATCATTTTTACTATTCTGGCTACTATAAAAGTGCATTTCAACTCTTAACTTTGACCTAGTATTGCTTAATGTTTTCAAGGATTATAGCCCTGATAAAAATTCTGTAACGTCTTAAATTTCTTCAATATCCCCTCATTTTTCCCCAGAGCTATTTATTGCACTATCTTTGAACAAATGCATCAATACTATTACTAGTTTTCTGATATTTGCATTTCAAACTGTTTCTCTGAGATAATCTCAATTCCCCATGCAGAACTGTACTTGCAATCACTGGAGGGTGATAATCACTTACCAGCAAAAATGTGAGATCATGGAGTTCAGGTGAGTTATGAGATGAGATGTAGGGGAGTTATCAGTTAGATCGTTAAACTGTAACTTTTTTTTAAACATTTTTTATTTTTATTTTTTATTTTATTTTTTTAACATTTTTTACTGATTTATAATCATTTTACAATGTTGTGTCAAATTCC